CTACCTGGAAGAAAGTCAGCTCAACCTGCTTCTCCTGTCTTAGAACAAGATAATGTCCATATAAGTCAAATATTTAAAATTTATAAAAATAAAGTGTTTAAAGTGCTAGAAGAAACCATGTTAAAATTATTTGATAGGTCTAGAGTGGAGAAAACCCTATTTTGATGCAAGTCCCAGGAGATATACAAGAAGAGATTGATACATTGTTAAATGAGAAAAGACACAGAATAGTGCATATGGTATATAATATGCAACTATATTATTTTTTTGATGTTTAAAAGTGCACAGAGGAAAGTAAAACTCAACAGAAATCAAGCAGTGGGGAGGGGAGAGGATGGGATGGGTGAAAACCTACCTAACCTGTACGATGAACACTATCTGGGTGACAGATACACTTATAATCGTGACTCAAGCATTATAAAAGTGATCCATGGAAACAAAAAGATTTGTACCCCTGCAATACTTTGAAATAAAAGAAAAGTAGCTATGGAGGAATACATTAAAAAATAATAACGTAGGCAACCTGTGTTTGTGGACGTGGGAAATGGGTGGCATAGAAGTGGGTGATTTTTTATAGTTTTCAAATTTGGAAACACTTCACCGTGTCAGGTAGTAACATTTTCAATAGCCACACAAAAAGAAGAAAGATTAGGGAAAATAACTGAGCTTCTTTACTGGATCTTCAATGTTTATAAAAATTGCCTAGTGGAATCTCTTGTGCTTTCTAAGCATAAAATCACTTTCTGCCAAAATGATACGTTTACCCCTACATTTCAAATTGCATTACTCTCCTTTTTTTTCCTGCCTAATTGCATTTGCTGGTATCTCAAGCACAATGATAAATAAAAGCAAAACACTGGATGTGTGTATTTTGTTTTTTACCGTGTATTTTGTTTATTTTTATGTAAACTTGTTAACTTTTGCAGTTGGCTTTTGGATGTTGTGTTTTCCTCAGAAATATCTTTTTTTAAATACCTGGCTAAATTTTCTATGGTACTTTTTAAATTCTCTGCTGTTCTAATTTTTTCTGCTTTTCTAATTCTCAAATATTTGATTCCGGTGGAGCTTATTTTGTTATAGGGAGAAGAGGTGTCAGTGGGAAACACAGCGGCTGGAGATTTCTGTATTTGCTCCCTGGATAATATTTTGGGGGATGGGTTTCTTAGGGACGACCTGGCCCAGCTACCCTTCCTGACCATGTGCATTAAGGAGAGTCTGCGCCTGCATCCCGCAGTCCCAGTGATCTCCCGCCGCTGCACCCAGGACATTGTGCTCCCAGATGGCCGTGTCATCCCCAAAGGTGCCCACAGCGGCAGGGGGAGGAGGATGATGGGCAGAAAGAGGGGCCCATCGGGCAGTGGGGCCCTGTCCTGACTGCTCCCTCCTCTTGCCCAGGTGTCATCTGTGTCATCAGTATTTTCGGGACCCATCACAACCCAGCTGTGTGGCCGGACCCTGAGGTGCTGACTGAGCCCCCCAACCATTTTATTCATTTCATGGGTCCTAAAGGAGGGGCAGGGCTTTGACAGGGAAATCTGAGGTCTCCTCTCTCCCCCACTACCAGAAACACTTTCATCTGTCTCTCCAAGGCTGGCTGTCCTGGGAGACCCGCCCAGCAAGCCTGTCTCCCTCTCACCCCCAGGTGTATGACCCCTCCCGCTTCGACCCAGAAAATGTCAAGGAGAGGTCACCTCTGGCTTT